ATATATATATATATATATATATATAATGTAAAGCAAAAATTACACAGGTCTGTTACCACCCGACCCCATGAGTAATATTTATGCACATTGAAATTCCCAATGATGGTATTATGAGTTTTTGCTTTAAACTGCCATATGGATTTTAGAGAAATTAAGAGAGAGGTGTTTTATGCCAGCTATAAATAATTACCACTTCTTTCCTCTTCCTTCATCCCTGAGGATCCAAGTTACTCTCTGGTATTACCCTTCAGCTAAAGAACTGCCTTTAATATTTCCTATAGTCCAAGCATCTGGCAATAAGTTCTCCCAGTTTTTTTTTTCTTTTTTGAGGGGGAGATGCTTATATTTTGCACTCATTCCTGAAATATAATTAGCTGTATGTAAAGCTCTGTATTTATAAGCAGCCCCATATTTTGGAGGTGAATTTTCATTATCTTTTTTTATGTATTTGGTACAGGGTCTCACTACGCAGCTTGGACTCATAGTGATCCTCTTGTTTTCAGCCTCCCCAGTGCTGGGATTATAGGCGTGAGCCACCACGCTGGATCTTGGTGGTGGGCTCAGGGTGCCCAGGGGCAGGACTGGTGCTGCATGTCGTGCTGGAGACTGAACTCTGGTCCCTGAGCTTGCCTAAGCAGGCACTTAGTCCACTGAGCTATCTTGCCAGCCCTTTCATTATCTTCTGGTGGCAATAGATTCAGGCTAAGCCTCACAGTTATTTGAATCATGGCTTGCATGCATATATACACGTACACATACATGTACATTTACAGTATCTGAACACACATCTGTGTAGTTGCATTTCTCTGACGGCTTCCAAGATTTCTCATTATCTTTGGTTCTTTTAGCTTGACTATGATGTATCTGGGCATCTTTTTCTTTTCCTCCCAAAGCTTTCTTGTATTACATTTGCTAAACTCCTTAAATCTGTACATTTCTATCTTTTCCTATATTTGAAGTTTTCAGCCATACTCTTTCTAGTATGGTTTCTTTTCTTTTTTTCCTTTCTTTTTTTAATTTTAGGAATAGGTCTACAGTGTCTCACTGCATAGATTAACTCATAGTGATTCTCCTGTTTTCAGCCTCCCGAGTGTTGGGATTACAGGTGCATACCACCATACCCAGTCTCAATCCCAGTCTCAGTGTGTCCCTCTGGTGGGGCCAGCATGGCAGGCCTGGGGATCGAACTCCCGGCCCCTGTGTCTGCCTAAGCAGATGCTTTAATCTGCTGAGCTATTTGGCCGGCCCTTGTAGTACTGTTTCCTGTCCCTTTTCTCTCCTCCTGGACTCTGATGCCATGGAGGTGGT